GACGACCCCTTGGGCGGCCAGGGCGAAGCAGACGACCCATCGGGCGGCCAGGGCGAAGCAGACGACCCCTCGGGCGGCCAGGGCGAAGCAGACGACCCATCGGGCGGCCAGGGCGGATCCGGCTGTGCAGGCGGCCTGAATGGGGCAGGTCCTTCGGGCGGCCATGGTGGAGACGACCAGGGCGAAGACGACCACTCAGGCGAGCACGGCGGAGACCACCCTTCGGGCGGCCACGGCATAGGAACAGACACCGGCTCAGGACCAGCAACAGACACCGGCTCAGGAACAGCAGACACTGACTCCGGCTCAGGAACAGCAGACACTGACTCCGGCTCAGGAACAGCAGACACTGGCTCCGGCTCAGGAACAGCAGACACTGGCTCCGGCTCAGGAACAGCAGACACTGGCTCCGGCTCAGGAACAGTCTCAGGCTGGGCAGACGTGACGTGAACAGTCTCTGGCTGGGCAGACGTGACGTGAACAGTCTCTGGCTGGGCAGACGTGACGTGAACAGTCTCTGGCTGGGCAGACGTGACGTGAACAGTCTCTGGCTGGGCAGACCTGACGTGAACAGTCTCTGGCTGGGCAGACCTGACGTGAACAGTCTCTGGCTGGGCAGACCTGACGTGAACAGTCTCTGGCTGGGCAGACGTGACGTGAACAGTCTCTGGCTGGGCAGACGTGACGTGGACAGTCTCTGGCTGGGCAGACGTGACGTGGACAGTCTCTGGCTCGGCAGAACTCCTCTGCTTCCTCCATGCCTGCAGAACTGCCACTACATAAAAAAGGAACACGGCCTTCCTGGCCATGGCAGGACTGACGTGAAGTGCAGGATTGGCAGAGCTGACGTGAAGCTCTGGTTCCGCAGGCGTGCTGTGTCTCCTCCACGCATGCAGTACCGCCACTGCATAAAAGAGGAACACAGCCCTCTTGGCCGTGGCGGGACTGATGGTGGGCAGCTCCGAGAAGACCTCAGGGCTGACAGCGGGCTGCACAGGGTCGACCTCCGGGACCACCGGACTCGGGACCACCGGACTCGGGACCACCGGACTCGGGACCACCGGAACTGGGACCACCGGAACTGGGACCACCGGAATAGGGACCACCGGAACTGTCAAGGAGGAAGTCTTCCTTCTCCTCCTCCGTTTCGGGACCACCGGAACTGGGACCCCCGGCAGAGGGACCCTCCTCCTGGCCAACCGAGTTCCCTCAAACGATCGTCCGTGTTCGATGGAAGGGGGCTCGGGAGATTCTACCGCCACGGTCTCCTCCGTAATGCGAGCCCATAATGCGAAGCACTCGAAAATATTCATCCGAGGCGGCACCTCCCCAGATTGCGAACTCCCCCTCTGCTGCTTCCTCTCCCTCGCGGTGGCTGGGGAAGAGGCACGAAAACCCATACCGCTGGATCTATTCATGACGGAGTCCTTCTGTCACGATACACACACACAGCAAAACGTAAGATCCAAAAGCAGTATATTTAATGGGTAATCCGTACTCACAAACCAGTCCAGGCAAGGGTCAAAAGTCCAATTAGGCAATCCAAAACATGAAATACAGACAAGAACCAGACAGATACAAATACCGGAAGTGTGGGGACATAATACAAGGACTCCGTAACAAACACTGAAACTAACAGGGTATATATACACAAGTGCTAAACGAGGTGACGAGAAACAGCTGAACACAATGAACACTCAGTGACAGACAGGATCATGGGAAATGTAGTAACAGAGTGTGGGACACCGTGCGGGAAGAGGACCTCTAGTGGTTACCCAGGAAACACAAACCAGACACTGTGACAGTGTGTGTGTGTGTGTGTGTGTCGGCTTTGCCTCCATAAAGTCACCCATTTATCAGTTGGTCCAACGGTGGCCTTACTGTCTGAAAAGCAGAATAATATATTAATGTAAAGCCCAGGAATCAGTCTTTCTGCCGCTCTGGGAATGGAGGCCAGAGATGTTCTTCCTAAAACAGGAGAATGGAAACTGACAGCCAAATTACCAGGAAAATATAACGCAGCAGTTTCAAAGTTTCAAAACAGCAACAACATAAAAAATACACTGTAAAACAAATTCTCTTATTTCAACTTAAAAAATTAAGTTCTGTTGCTGCTTTAAATTAAGTATCATCAAATTGGCTGTAAAAGTCATTTCAACTTTAATTATATTAAAACTGACATATTAAGTTGAATCTCGTATTACTTATAAAAGTTGAAAATAATTTTGTAAAGACATACTGTATGTTGCCATGAATTATTGTTCATTTTTTACAGTAAATGAAAAAAACACACAAAAAAACACTTCTATTTTCTATCAAGTATAAACATAATATGAATTTATGTTCAGAATGTTTTTAACATCGAGAAAATGTTTGTACTTTCCTTTACATAACCTCCTATTAGTCTAAGCAGAGATAAACTCGTGATCCGGAGTCGGGTGAAGCGTTCCTCACTAGCCTTGGCTCCTCGTTAGCCTTGGTTCCTCGCTAGCCTTGGCTCCTCCCTAGCCTTGGATCCTCGCTAGCATTGGTTCCTCGCTAGCCTTGGTTCCTCGCTAGCCTTCGCTAGCCTTGGTTCCTCGCTAGCCTTGGCTCCTCGTTAGCCTTGGTTCCTCGCTAGCCTTGGCTCCTCCCTAGCCTTGGATCCTCGCTAGCATTGGTTCCTCGCTAGCCTTGGTTCCTCGCTAGCCTTCGCTAGCCTTGGTTCCTCGCTAGCCTTGGCTCCTCGTTAGCCTTGGTTCCTCGCTAGCCTTGGCTCCTCCCTAGCCTTGGATCCTCGCTAGCATTGGTTCCTCGCTAGCCTTGGTTCCTCGCTAGCCTTCGCTAGCCTTGGTTCCTCGCTAGCCTTGGCTCCTCGCTAGCCATGGTTCCTCGCTAGTCTTTCCTCGCTAGCCTTGGTGACTCGCTAGCCTTGGTTCCTCGCTAGCCTTGGTTCCTCACTAGCCTTGGTTCCTCGCTAGCCTTGGTTCCTCGCTAGCCTTTCCTCGCTAGCCTTGGTTCCTCACTAGCCTTTCCTCGCTAGCCTTGGTTCCTCACTAGCCTTTCCTCGCTAGCCTTGGTTCCTCGCTAGCCTTTCCTCGCTAGCCTTGGCTTCTCACAGTGCCACAATCAGGATTTACACTTTAGGCTTTTTAAAGTATCAACTGATTCTAATTTGCTTCTGCATTTTCAAATTCAACTCCACAAACACACAAATCACTATTACAAGTTTTGAAGTTTGTGTCGTAAAATAAGATTGTGGACGGGACTAACAGAAACTGACGAATCACTACTGTTTCTGACTAGCGCATGATACACCTATGGGGAAAACTGCCATGGAAACGTTGTTTAACTTCATAAATAAAGAAGTCAAGTCACCTTTATTTAGGCTATAGGCCTATAGAGCTTTATACAATACAGAGTGTTTCAATGCAGCTTTACAGTGATAACAGGAAAATAGTGAATTTTTTCTCAGTTCTCCTCTGGCCAACGAACGAACGGCGTATGATTATGATTCCAGCAGCGTCAGAGGTCAGAGGTCAGATCGGGATCTCCTGCTTGCATCGATCAGGCTCTGGAGCCGAAGCTGGTCAGGGTGTGTGTGGAGGACCAGTCCGGTTCTAGTGATGATTTGAGCTTAATTCGGAGTATTTACTAAGTTACTTTGCAGATGATGGATCATACAGTCTGTGGACCGGCTTTAGTGTGTTATAATAACCCAGATGAGCAGAATATGGATCATTACAGTCTGTGGACAGGCTAATACATTATAGACTTCTATAATTCTATGTTAGGCTGCATAGGTCAGCCGGAACTGGGAACACTTCCCTTAAATCTTGATGTACTCGTTACATCATAAGAAGAATGGCATCTACGCTAACTTTAGTGTCTTTGTTTATCCCGAGGTTTTCCCGCAGCCTGCCGGATCCAGGCCGTATCCAGATCTGACGAAGGAGATTCGCCTGGACACACACACACACACACACACACTCCAGATCTGACGAAGGAGATTCGCCTGGACCCGATGACAATGCAGTGCTGAAGTTTCCACTATCCTCTCCCTATGGAGGATCCCTTTCCCACTCGACAGATAAAGCGTTGTGGAAATCCGGTTCTCGTACCCCAAAGTGATAAAATAAAATCCTGTATCAAATTTATAGGCAAGACAAGTAGTTTGTTCAGGCATGGGTTGTATGGAATTACAAACCTGCGCACATATTTTCAAAAGCACATAACTATAGAATCAATTCTTAATGTGCATGTGAACACCGTCAGTGTTAATCACAGATTCGCGTTAAAAGTCTGTGTTTAGAGAGAACGGCGTCGTCTTAGCGGCCCCTAATTTAATAACAAATGATCATTTCGACGGAGGTGAATCAATCAAAATTAACTTTAGCTGGAAATAACATTATTCAAGAACCGCTATAAAGCCAAAACAATCTCTGTTACTTTAAATTATATGTTTATCTCTGTAAAGCTGCTTTGGAACAATTCATTGTTGATGATGAAGATGACTTGACTTGACTTTAGTGTGTTATAATAACCCAGATGAGCAGAATATGGATCATACAGTCTGTGGACCAGCTTTAGTGTGTTATAATAACCCAGATGAGCAGAATAAGCAGGAGTGTTACTGAGATGTTCTGGTGTTCATTCTGACCTTTAATGATTCACCACACATTCACACATTAGCCTCTCATTATCTCTCTTCATGTGACACAGATTCACAGATTCATTAAAACATTTGTAAAAACTCCACAAATTATTAATCTTTTTTTTTTTTACATTCTAAGATGTAGCCTAAATCTCCTGTTTGAAATATATGAGCTACAGTGTTGGCATAAATATTGTCATGACATTCTGTAAAGGAAAATGTATTGCTGTTGTGGTTCTACTTGTTTTTCTTTCCCCTTTAAAAAATAAACTCAAGCTGAATTGAAACACGTGTTATGTTATGAAATAAAATTATTTCGCGTTTATTAAACTGAATAAAATCCCATATAAGTACGAAATATAGCATTCCCTGAACATTACACGACGAGGAGGAAGAAGACGAGGGAAGAGGTGTTTCTCCAGGCCTTTCTCCTCTTTCATTATTTATTTCCTTATTAACAGCGATCAAAACATTGATGGTCGATCATCCGCCGCTGAGCTCGAGACCCGCGGAATATCGTGCAGTTTTTCGCTTCGGTGAGTGTGTGTGTCGCGATGGCTCGCCCACGGCCCCGGGAATATAAAGCTGGAGATCTGGTTTTCGCCAAGATGAAGGGATACCCGCACTGGCCGGCGAGGGTGAGTACGAGCTGTAGCCGAGCAGAGAGACGCGGAGGCCGGTTACTGGAGCTGGGAGAGACCGCTAAACACTCACACACACCCGGGGAGCGGAGAGACGCGGAGGCCGGTTACCGGAGCTCAGAGGGGCCGCTAAACACTCACACACACCCGGTTACCGGAGCTCAGAGCGGCCGCTAAACACACACACACACACACACACACACACACACACACACCCGGTTACCGGAGCTCAGAGGGGCCGCTAAACACTCACACACACCCGGTTACTGGAGCTGAGAGCGACCGCTGAACACTCACACACACCCGGAGCTCCAGCGGTGTTATCTGAGGGGAAATAAGGGCAAAACTCGCGGGAAAGGGATCGAAATGCGTCAGTAAAAGCCTGCGACACGCGGATCATGAGTGTGAAAGTGTTTTTGTCTGTAGTGTGAAATGATCCGCTTGTTCTCGTCGTTTGGGGCTCTGCGTTATTTCAGGCGTTTATGAAGTGTTTGAATCACGGGAAGGCTCTGGTTCTGGGTTATTCTGGGGTGTGTGTGTGTTCTGTTGTTATAGGGGAAGCAGCTGTTCCTCATCTGGGCCAACAAGAGCCCGTTCGGGCCCGCGACACCGTTTCATTCAAAACATCGGAATGGCGTTCAGCGAAGAACCGTTCCGTTCGGTTCCGTTAGTGTGAACTATTAGATGATTTGGGCCCAGAATAGCGTTTTGATTTCCGCTTCATTTTAAACCCAACCCGCCATGTTCTCAGATCAAGTGGTGTTATAGTTCTGGACGCTGTGAGATCAGGATGATTTATTTTCGAATCTAACAGCAGCAAAAGAGCAGAAGTGGAAAACATGTGTGTAAACTCTTAAATATGAAATGAGGTAAAAATGCATCTGTTCAACTGGGGAAAAGCTGATCTGTAAACATGAGGTCAGACGGTTGGATAAATAAAATCGCACACATTCAAAATAATGTTCCCAAACAATGTGTGTGAGTTAGTGCTGAACTGTGTGTGTTCCAGATTGATGAGCTACCAGAGGGAGCCGTGAAGCCGCCAGCTAATAAATACCCCATCTTCTTCTTCGGTACCCATGAGACGTAAGTCTTGTGTGTGTGTGTGTGTGTGTACCTACTTAAATATATTTTGGTAACAAATTTGTACCCAGAAGTGACCAAAACCTGACAAAATCTCCAAAACCTCAGTTTAGGGACGTCCTCATTTGTAAATCTGGTATAAAAATAAAGTAGTTATAGGTGTTTTGAAAATGTAAAAATGCAGAAAGTGTTCTGTGATGGGTAGGGTTAGGGGTCGGGTTAGTGTATGTGTGTGTGTGAGATTCAGTGATGCGTGTCTCTGTGTTAGTGATGGACGGCCGTATCTGTGTCCTCTAGTGCGTTCCTGGGCCCCAAAGACCTGCTGCCCTACAAGGAATATAAGGACAAGTTTGCCAAGTCAAACAAGAGAAAAGGATTTAATGAAGGCCTGTGGGAAATTGAAAACAATCCTGGTGTCAAATTTACTGGTTACCAGGTGAGTTACAGTATTTGATGAGCTGAGGTGTGTGTGAGGGTCACGTGACCTGATCTGTCTCACTCACACACACACACACACACACACAGGTGATGCAGCAGCAGAGCTCCTCGGAGACGGAGGGGGAAGGAGGGAACGCAGTCGACAGCGAGGAAGAGGAAGAAGAAGAGGAGGGAAAGATGAAGAGCGACAAAGTCGGATCCAAGCGGAAAAAAAGTGCATCCTCAAAGGTACCTGAGCGTTTCTGTGAGTGTCTGTCATTTTATCTCTATATAGATTTCAGAATCCATGTTGTTTGAAAGCAGGTTTACAGAAAATCATGTGAACTGTTGAAGGACAAACTCCATTAGTTGTTTAGATGGAGAGAGATTCTTATAGTTACAAAATCTGCATAATTCAAGTCATGTGTTCATTGGGTTTTCTTCGAGCTGACTGGATCCTGATGCTGAAGGTCAGTGCAGCTCCGGGTCAGCAGGGGGCAGTGTGTGTGAAAGATGGACACACACACTGTACTGGTGTGGCCCACTTTGCAGACTTATGCACTATTTTAAGCTGTTTTGCAGTATACATAGTGCGAGTAGAAAAAGTGCACTTCAAATTGTGGAACGTTGGATGCTTCATGATCTCAACTATCAGACTGAAGCTGGGTGACAAAATAACCTTTTAAACCTCATACACTACATAGTGTAAGTGCATCATGTGCGGTACATGATTTTGGACGCAGCGCATGTGTGAGATCAGAGATGTTTTCACTCACACCTGTTGAAGTGCATGTGGATCTCCTGACGGCTGATGAAGAGTTCATCGAAGGATTCGAGTCTGAAGGCTTTTCTCCTCTAGCTGAGCCCTTGCTTAGCAACAGCTGTTGCCTAGCAACCGAGTCCTGCACATTCATATACTGTACGTAGTGAAGGTTACTGAGCTGCTTGAACAAGTTTAGTGTAGCAGTGAGAGAGAGAAACAAGACCACACAGGCTGCAAATGAGAGTGTGCTCTGGGTGTTTCGTCAAGCCTGTTTTCAGTCTAAAACTCTCCTACAGTCCTCCAAGCTGTCCAGGAAGGGTTCGGGAGATGAGGATCTGGAGAAGGACGGGAAAGATGAGCAGAAGAGCGGATCAGAGGCTGGTGACCATGACAACAACATCCAGAACTCTTCAGACAAGACATGCAGTCAAGGGGTAAGAACACGTGAAGCAGCTGATCCCATCCTCACAGTATCAATATATTCATACACAGTAACAGGAATTTCATGAAATGACTAGTTACAATCTTTAACTTATTGCTGAATAGAGGTCTGCACGGGCTTTAAACTGAAGCCCGAACCTGAGATCGTATAACCTAACCGACCCGAAGTCCGTTTCTTACAGCAAATATATTTTTGCAGTATTCTGTATTTTAGGATTGCATGCGACGATCAGTAAACAAACACAGTTTCATCACGACACACCGGAGTAAAAGAGAAAAATCACATACTGATTCTGAAACTCTGCAGGGTGAACAGCTGTAACAGTGTCTATAGGTGTAACAGTGTCTACAGGTGTAACATTGTCTACATGTGTAACAGTGTCTACAGGTGTAACAGTGTCTACATGTGTAACAGTGTCTACAGGTGTAACAGTGTCTACAGGTGTAACAGTGTCTACAGGTGTAACATTGTCTACATGTGTAACAGTGTCTACAGGTGTAACAGTGTCTACAGGTGTAACAGTGTCTACAGGTGTAACAGTGTCTACAGCTGTAACAGTGTCTATAGGTGTAACAGTGTCTACAGGTGTAACATTGTCTACATGTGTAACAGTGTCTACAGGTGTAACAGTGTCTACATGTGTAACAGTGTCTACAGGTGTAACAGTGTCTACAGGTGTAACAGTGTCTACAGGTGTAACAGTGTCTACAGGTGTAACAGTGTCTACATGTGAACAGTGTCTACAGGTGTAACAGTGTCTACATGTGTAACAGTGTCTACAGGTGTAACAGTGTCTACATGTGTAACAGTGTCAACAGGTGTAACAGTGTCTACATGTGTAACAGTGTCTACAGGTGTAACAGTGTCTACATGTGAACAGTGTCTACAGGTGTAACAGTGTCTACAGGTGTAACAGTGTCTACATGTGTAACAGTGTCTACAGGTGTAACAGTGTCTACATGTGTAACAGTGTCTACAGGTGTAACATTGTCTACATGTGTAACATTGTCTACAGGTGTAACATTGTCTACAGGTGTAACAGTGTCTACATGTGTAACAGTGTCTACAGGTGTAACAGTGTCTACAGGTGTAACAGTGTCTACATGTGTAACAGTGTCTACAGGTGTAACAGATGTAACAGTGTCTACATGTGTAACAGTGTCTACAGGTGTAACAGTGTCTACAGGTGTAACAGTGTCTACAGGTGTAACAGTGTCTACATGTGTAACAGTGTCTACAGGTGTAACAGTGTCTACATGTGAACAGTGTCTACATGTGTAACAGATGTAATAGTGTCTATAGGTGTAACAGTGTCTACAGGTGTAACAGTGTCTACATGTGTAACAGTGTCTACAGGTGTAACAGTGTCTACATGTGTAACAGTGTCTACAGGTGTAACAGTGTCTACATGTGAACAGTGTCTACAGGTGTAACAGTGTCTACATGTGTAACAGTGTCTACAGGTGTAACAGATGTAACATTGTCTACAGGTGTAACAGTGTCTACAGGTGCAACAGATTTAACAGTGTCTACAGGTGTAACATATGTAACAGTGTCTACAGGTGTAACATATGTAACTGTCTACAGATGTAACAGTGTCTACAGGTGTAACATTGTCTACAGGTGTAACGGAGTCTACAGGTATAACGGTGTGTACTGGTGTAACAGTTGTAATATTGTCTACAGGTGTAACATTGTCTACAGGTGTAACATTGTCTACAGGTGTAACAGTGTCTACAGGTGTAACAGTGTCTACAGGTGTAACAGATGTAACAGTGTCTACATGTGTAACAGTGTCTACAGGTGTAACAGTGTCTACAGGTGTAACAGTGTCTACATGTGTAACAGTGTCTACAGGTATAACAGTGTCTACAGGTGTAACAGTGTCTACATGTGAACAGTGTCTACATGTGTAACAGATGTAACAGTGTCTATAGGTGTAACAGTGTCTACAGGTGTAATAGTGTCTACATGTGTAACAGTGTCTACAGGTGTAACAGTGTCTACATGTGTAACAGTGTCTACAGGTGTAACAGTGTCTACATGTGAACAGTGTCTACATGTGTAACAGATGTAACAGTGTCTATAGGTGTAACAGTGTCTACAGGTGTAATAGTGTCTACATGTGTAACAGTGTCTACAGGTGTAACTGTGTCTACAGGTGTAACAGTGTCTACAGGTGTAACAGTGTCTACAGGTGTAACAGTGTCTACAGGTGTAACAGTGTCTACAGGTGTAACAGATGTAACATTGTCTACAGGTGTAACAGATGTAACTGTCTACAGGTGTAACATACACTCACCTAAAGGATTATTAGGAACACCACACTGATACTGTGTTTGACCCCCTTTCGCGATCAGAACTGCCTTAATACTATGTGGCATTGATTCAACAAGGTGCTGAAAGCATTCTTTAGAAATGTTGGCCCATATTGATAGGATAGCATCTTGTAGTTGATGGAGATTTGTGGGATGCACATCCAGGGCACGAAGCTCCCGTTCCACCACATCCCAAAGATGCTCTATTGCAGTGGTTCTCAACTCCAGTCCTCGGGACCCACTGCTCTGCATATTGTGTATGTCTCCCTTATTTAACAGACCTGATTCAGATCCTCAGCTCGTTAGGATAGACTCTATGAACTGAACTGAGTGTGTCAGATAAAAGAGACATACAAAATGTGCAGAGCAGCGGGTCCCGAGGACTGGAGTTGAGAACCACTGCTCTATTGGGTTGAGATCTGGTGACTGTGGGGGCCATTTTAGTACAGTGAACTCATTGTCATGTTCAAGAAACCAATTTGAAATGATTCGAGCTTTGTGACATGGTGCATTATCCTGCTGGAAGTAGCCATCAGAGGATGGGTACATGGTGGCCATAAAGGGATGGACATGGTCATAAACAATGCTCAGGTAGGCCGTGGCATTTAAACGATGCCCAATTGGCACTAAGGGGCCTAAAGTGTGCCAAGAAAACATCCCCCACACCATTACACCACCACCACCAGCCTGCACAGTGGTAACAAGGCATGATGGATCCATGTTCTCATTCTGTTTACGCCAAATTCTGACTCTACCATCTGAATGTCTCAACAGAAATCGAGACTCATCAGACCAGGCAACATTTTTCCAGTCTTCAACTGTCCAATTTTGGTGAGCTCTTGCAAATTGTAGCCTCTTTTTCCTATTTGTAGTGGAGATGAGTGGTACCCGGTGGGGTCTTCTGCTGTTGTAGCCCATCCGCCTCGAGGTTGTGCGTGTTGTGGGTTCCCAAATGCTTTGCTGCATACCTCGGTTGTAACGAGTGGTTATTTCAGTCAAAGTTGCTCTTCTATCGGCTTGAATCAGTCGGCCCATTCTCCTCTGACCTCTAGCATCAACAAGGCATTTTCGCCCACAGGACTGCCGCATACTGGATGTTTTTCCCTTTTCACACCATTCTTTGTAAACCCTAGAAATGGTTGTGCGTGAAAATCCCAGTAACTGAGCAGATTGTGAAATACTCAGACCGGCCCGTCTGGCACCAACAACCATGCCACGCTCAAAATAGCTTAAATCACCTTTCTTTCCCATTCTGACATTCAGTTTGGAGTTCAGGAGATTGTCTTGACCAGGACCACACCCCTAAATGCACTGAAGCAACTGCCATGTGATTGGTTGATTAGATAATTGCATTAATGAGAAATTGAACAGGTGTTCCTAATAATTCCTTAGGTGAGTGTATGTAACAGTGTCTACAGGTGTAACATATGTAACAGTGTCTACAGGTGTAACAGTGTCTACAGGTGTAACATATGTAACAGTGTCTACAGGTGTAACAGTGTCTACAGGTGTAACGGAGTCTACAGGTATAACGGTGTCTACGGGTGTAACATTGTCTACAGGTGTAACAGTGTCTACAGGTGTAACATTGTCTACAGGTGTAACGGAGTCTACAGGTGTAACAGTGTCTACAGGTGTAACATTGTCTACAGATGTAACAGTGTCTACAGGTGTAACTTTGTCTACATGTGTAACAGTGTCTACAGGTGTAACATTGTCTACAGGTGTAACAGTGTCTACGGGTGTAACATTGTCTACAGGTGTAACGGTGTCTACGGGTGTAACATTGTCTACAGGTGTAACAGTGTCTACATGTGTAACAGTGTCTACAGGTGTAACAGTGTCTACATGTGTAACAGTGTCTACAGGTGTAACATTGTCTACAGGTGTAACAGTGTCTACAGATGTAACAGTGTCTACAGGTGTAACAGTGTCTACATGTGTAACAGTGTCTACAGGTGTAACATTGTCTACAGGTGTAACAGTGTCTACAGGTGTAACAGTGTCTACAGGTGTAACAGTGTCTACAGGTATAACGGTGTCTACGGGTGTAACATTGTCTACAGGTGTAACAGTGTCTACAGGTGTAACATTGTCTACAGGTGTAACATTGTCTACAGGTGTAACAGTGTCTACAGATGTAACAGTGTCTACAGGTGTAACATTGTCTACATGTGTAACAGTGTCTACAGGTGTAACATTGTCTACAGGTGTAACAGTGTCTACAGGTGTAACAGTGTCTACAGATGTAACAGTGTCTACAGGTGTAACATTGTCTACAGGTGTAACATTGTCTACAGGTGTAACATTGTCTACAGGTGTAACATTGTCTACAGGTGTAACATTGTCTACAGGTGTAACATTGTCTACAGGTGTAACAGTGTCTACAGATGTAACAGTGTCTACAGATGTAACAGTGTCTACAGGTGTAACATTGTTTACAGGTGTAACATTGTCTACAGGTGTAACATTGTCTACATGTGTAACAGTGTCTACAGGTGTAACATTGTCTACAGGTGTAACATTGTCTACAGGTGTAACAGTGTCTACAGGTGTAACAGTGTCTACAGATGTAACAGTGTCTACAGGTGTAACATTGTCTACAGATGTAACAGTGTCTACAGGTGTAACATTGTCTACAGGTGTAACATTGTCTACAGATGTAACAGTGTCTACAGGTGTAACAGTGTCTACAGGTGTAACAGTGTCTACAGGTGTAACAGTGTCTACAGGTGTAACAGTGTCTACATGTGTAACAGTGTCTACAGGTGTAACAGTGTCTACAGGTGTAACAGTGTCTACAGGTGTAACAGTGTCTACATGTGTAACAGTGTCAACAGGTGTAACAGATGTAACGGTGTATACATATGTAACGTGTACAGGTGTAAGTGTCTACAAGTGTACAGTCACACAATGGGTCTCATTCATGAAACATTCGTAAATATACAAGTAAATATGAGAGTGATTTGCGCGTAAAGAGACCTTCCCGAAAACTCATCTCCTGATTCACAAATACTTCGTAAACATCAGATGTGATAGTGAAATGTGTGTGTGTGTTAATGAATTCCAATCAGTCGTAAATGGGACGCGCGTATACGTTCATTCTCAATTACCATAAATCCCGCCCATTAAATCCGACTGACAACTATATATGGGCATCATATTATGACACCAAACGAAGGATTTCAACGTGTCTTCTCGAAAGCGAATGAAAAAGAAAATTTTCTCAGATGCAGAAATCAAGTTTTATAATCAGAAGTTCATTCAAAACACCACATTTTATTTTCAAGCGTAGGCTACATAGTGGCGTATCAGGTCCTAAAAAAAAGGCAGCTTGGCAGCATATTACAGATGCAGTTATGGAGTTTCATCTGTTAATCAAACAGTCCCAGAAGTAAAAAGAAAAACCGTATGTAATTACTATATATAATATTTTTCAAAATGCTGTGTAAATATGTACCCGATTAAGGTGAATTAAAATGCAGCCTTAGTTATTAATGAGCAAAACGTTCGGATGTTAAACTCACTATGTTCGCGTGGCTGGGAGCAGGTGTAGATTTCTTTCGTACCAACTAACATTTGGAAAATACGAACATTTTAATGAATCCGAAAATTTACGCCAGAACCACTTTACACACGATTTACACAAAAATTCGTTCTGCTCGTGTTTCATGAATGAGACCCAATAAGAGGAACACGCTGCTGTTTTTCCACCGGCCCAAGAGATCCGCTCATCTTCCATGTCGTGGTTTGCGTGCCATCTTGTGTTTTAACAGTTTTATTTTTCACTCTATTTCAGTCACAACACAGCAGACAACATGCACGCCTATATATATATACCCGGCTCGGCTCGGTTTACAGACCTCTATTGCTAAAACTTTTTAAAACGTTAATAAAGGACAGAGAATGAGAGTCGCTCCTGTCTGTTGTCTGAATGTACAGTCGACTCTATCCATTAATGTTTAATGAACTCATGAAGGGAATGTGACATCTAGGTTTGTTCCCTGAGGGAATATTCCTCAATCCAGCAGTTTTGTGCGAGTGAAAGTAGTGACTCCACAGTTTGTCTGACTGCTGTTTTTGTCTCTTCCGACAGAATCTCCGGGAGGATCGTTAGGCGATCATCGGACAACGGCTCGTGACGCTGATATGTCATACTGTAAATGCATCTTATTACACTGATCGCTTGCAAACTCCTACACATTATTATCTGGCTCAGTCAAACACACACACATACAGTCAAATAAAAACATGAATCCAGGATTTACACACAAACGTCATTCCTTTCTGCTGATTTGATTTTAGAGGTTTAGCTTCAGCTCATTCAGATCTCATTCATGTGTCATGCTAGCCGTTTATTTCTTAACAATGGAACAAACAGACGTTTGTCTGTCAAACAACTCGGCCGTCTTTCACGCTTTTACGTAATCTGAGAGAAAGGAGTGGAAAGCGTAGAATATGAAGAATCGTGCACAAGCAGAGTTGTGCGCCGTAACTCGATATTATCTCTGTATATTTTATTTGGGTGTAGACTCTAGGATCTCTGTACTATTATCCCGATGCGCATCCGTTCCTGTGTCGTGGGTTGGTTGTTTTCTAGCCTTTCTAGTGGCATGCTGTAGTTTCACATGTTGGAGATGTTCTTCTGTCTGTCCGTTCCTGATCACAGACGCCCCTCTTCCACACAGTCCATTTTTATTTCTTATCTTTGTTTATATAAAGAATATATTCTATTTATTTTTGATGATAGTAGATGACACATCTGTGGTAAATTCACCAATGTGGTTTTCCTGTCGTTTAATTTTTATTGCCCTCATACATCTTGCATTTTCAAGGTTTGTAGCCACATGTAAACTGTTTTTCCTGTTTATTGACAAGAATTTTACAGAATAAACTCATTGGAATGCAAGTGGTGTTCTGTCGTGTGTTTGTCGCAGTGTTCGCTTCTAACTTTAGGGTTTGTTCAAAGTTGCACTCGTTTCTAATGTTTTGAACCTCGCGGCCTAGAGACGTAATTCTTTTAGTGTATTTTTACAAATGCATTGGCATGTGTGTAGGTACGCATGTGTATAGAAATAGATATACAATATGTTTGAAAATTCATTTGGTAGTTTGATTGATGTCACTGGTTGTCATTTACAGTACAGTGAAACGATGCCCGGACACCATTAAATTTCATTGCAAACATACTTTTTTAGACTCATTAGATATTCACCAGAATAGACTCAGCATGGCAAAGAGTTCATTCCATTTGATATGTCAAACCAATCTTATTTGTAAGTAGTTTTAATTACAGCTTTTCCTACAGATCTGCTGCTGTTCCTCATTAACAGTGGCCATATTTACAGTGGTGTTTGTACTAACCCTTCTCAGAGTGCATGAGACTAACATACCTACACACACTCACTCTCTCTCTCTCTCACACACACACACACTCACACTATGGGGGTTAGTGTGGTTTTATCTAGATCTGTGCGTATCCGATATTAAAGAGAGTAGGAGATGATTTAGAGTTATTCTATATTCTTTAATAGAGTATTGAATATATCAAGAATAGCAATTAATGAAATGAATGGGAGTTAGGTTGGAGTCAATGAAGGGCCAAACAACACGTGACCAATCTGAAGTCACTCGAATATACACACATTTACACAAAACTACAAACTCCTGTAAACAGTCTCTTCATGTTTACTGTAAGTAACGTTTGTGAGACTGTAGATGTGTGTGAGACTGTAGATGTGTGTGAGACATGTGTGTGAGACTGTAGATGTGTGTGAGACTGTAGATGTGTGTGAGACTGTAGATGTGTGTGAGACGTGTGTGAGACTGTAGATGTGTGTGAGACGTGTGTGAGACTGTAGATGTGTGTGAGACTGTAGATGTTGTGTGAGACTGTAGATGTGTGTGAGACTGTAGATGTTGTGTGAGACTGTAGATGTGTGTGAGACTGTAGATGTTGTGTGAGACTGTAGATGTGTGTGAGACTGTAGATGTGTGTGAGACTGTAGATGTGTGTGAGACTGTAGATGTTGTTTGAGACTGTAGATGTGTGTGAGACTAGATGTGTGTGAGACTGTAGATGTTGTGTGAGACTGTAGATGTGTGTGAGACTGTAGATGTTGTTTGAGACTGTAGATGTGTGTGAGACTGTAGATGTTGTGTGAGACTGTAGATGTGTGTGAGACTGTGGATGTGTGTGAGACTGTAGATGTGTGTGAGACTGTAGATGTGTGTAAGACTGTAGATGTTGTGTGAGACTGTAGATGTGTGTGAGACTGTAGATGTGTGTGAGACTGTAGATGTGTGTGAGACTGTAAATGTGTGTGAGACTGTAGATGTGTGTGAGACTGTAGATGTGTGTAAGACTGTAGATGTGTGTGAGACTGTAGATGTTGTGAGTGTGTAGATGTGTGTAAGACTGTAGATGTTGTGTGAGACTAGATGTGTGTGAGACTGTAGATGTGTGTGAGACTAGATGTGTAGATGTGTGTGAGACTGTAGATGTGTGTGAGACTGTAGATGTGTGAGACTGTAGACGTGTGAGTGTGTAGATGTGTGTGAGACTGTACATGTGTGAGACTAGATGTGTGTGAGACTGTAGATGTGTGAGACTGTAGACGTGTGAGTGTGTAGATGTGTGTAAGACTGTAGATGTGTGAGACTGTAGATGTTGTGAGTGTGTAGATGTGTGTGAGACTGTAGATGTGTGAGACTGTAGATGTGTGAGACTGTAGATGTGTGTGAGACTGTAGATGTGTGTGAGACTGTAGATGTTGTGAGTGTGTAGATGTGTGTAAGACTAGATGTGTGTGAGACTAGATGTTGTGTGAGACTGTAGATGTGTGTGAGACTGTAGATGTGTGTGAGACTGTAGATGTGTGATACTGTAGATGTGTGTGAGACTGTAGATGTTGTTTGAGACTGTAGATGTGTGTGAGACTAGATGTGTGTGAGACTGTAGATGTTGTGTGAGACTGTAGATGTGTGTGAGACTGTGGATGTGTGTGAGACTGTAGATGTGTGTGAGACTGTAGATGTGTGTAAGACTGTAGATGTTGTGTGAGACTGTAGATGTGTGTGAGACTGTAGATGTGTGTGAGACTGTAGATGTGTGTGAGACTGTAAATGTGTGTGAGACTGTAGATGTGTGTGAGACTGTAGATGTGTGTAAGACTGTAGATGTGTGTGAGACTGTAGATGTTGTGAGTGTGTAGATGTGTGTAAGACTGTAGATGTTGTGTGAGACTAGATGTGTGAGACTGTAGATGTGTGTGAGACTAGATGTGTAGATGTGTGTGAGACTGTAGATGTGTGTGAGACTGTAGATGTGTGTGAGACTGTAGATGTGTGAGACTGTAGACGTGTGAGTGTGTAGATGTGTGTGAGACTGTACATGTGTGAGACTAGATGTGTGTGAGACTGTAGATGTGTGAGACTGTAGACGTGTGAGTGTGTAGATGTGTGTAAGACTGTAGATGTGTGAGACTGTAGATGTTGTGAGTGTGTAGATGTGTGTGAGACTGTAGATGTGTGAGACTGTAGATGTGTGAGACTGTAGATGTGTGTGAGACTGTAGATGTGTGTGAGACTGTAGATGTTGTGAGTGTGTAGATGTGTGTAAGACTAGATGTGTGTGAGACTAGATGTTGTGTGAGACTGTAGATGTGTGTGAGACTGTAGATGTGTGTGAGACTGTAGATGTGTGAGACTGTAGATGTGTGTGAGACTGTAGATGTGTGTGAGACTGTAGATGTGTGAGACTGTAGATGTGTATGTGTAGATGTGTGTGAGACTGTAGATGTGTGAGTGTGTAGATGTGTGTGAGACTGTAGATGTTGTGTGAGACTGTAGATGTGTGTGAGACTGTAGATGTGTGTGAGACTGTAGATGTGTGTGAGACTGTAGAGGTGTGTGAGACTGTAGATGTGTGTGAGACTGTAGATGTGTGTGAGACTGTAGATGTGTGTGAGACTGTAGATGTGTGTGTAGATGTGTGTGAGACTGTAGATGTGTGTGAGACTGTAGATGTGTGAGACTGTAGATGTGTGTGAGACTGTAGATGTGTGTGAGACTGTAGATGTGTGTGTAGATGTGTGTGAGACTGTAGATGTGTGTGAGACTGTAGATGTGTGAGACTGTAGATGTGTGTGAGACTGTAGATGTGTGTGAGACTGTAGATGTGTTGAGACTGTAGATGTTGTGTGAGACTGTAGATGTGTGTGAGACTGTAGATGTGTGTGAGACTGTAGATGTGTGTGAGACTGTAGATGTGTGTGAGACTGTAGATGTGTGAGACTGTAGATGTGTTGAGACTGTAGGTGTGTGTGAGACTGTAGATGTGTGTGAGACTGTAGATGTTGTGTGAGACTGTAGATGTGTGTGAGACTGTAGATGTGTGTGAGACTGTAGATGTTGTGTGAGACTGTAGGTGTGTGTGAGACTGTAGATGTGTGAGACTGTAGATGTGTGTGAGACTGTAGATGTTGTGAGTGTGTAGATGTGTGTGAGACTGTGGATGTGTGAGTGTGTAGATGTGTGTGAGTGTGAAGATGTGTGTGAGACTGTAGATGTGTGTGAGACTGTAGATGTGTGAGTGTGTAGATGTGTGTGAGACTGTAGATGTGTGTGAGACCGTAGATGTGTGTGAGACTGTAGATGTGTGTGAGACTGTAGATGTGTGTGAGACTGTAGATGTGTGTAAGACTGTAGATGTTGTGTGAGACTGTAGATGTGTGTGTGTGTGTGTGTGTGTGTGAGACTGTAGATGTTGTGAGTGTGTGTGTGTGTGAGACTGTAGATGTGTGTGAGACTGTAGATGTGTGTAAGACTGTAGATGTGTGTAAGACTGTAGATGTGTGTGAGACTGTAGATGTGTGTGAGACTGTAGATGTTGTGTGAGACTGTAGATGTGTGTGTGTGTGTGTGTGTGTGTGTGTGTGTGAGACTGTAGATGTGTGTGTGTGTGTGTGTGTGTGTGTGTGTGTGTGTGTGAGACTGTAGATGTGTGTGAGACTGTAGATGTGTGTAAGACTGTAGATGTGTGTAAGACTGTAGATGTGTGTGAGACTGTAGATGTGTGTGAGACTGTAGATGTTGTGTGAGACTGTAGATGTGTGTGAGACTGTAGATGTGTGTGAGACTGTGTGAGACTGTAGATGTGTGTGAGACTGTAGATGTGTGAGACTGTAGATGTGTGTGAGACTGTAGATGTGTGTGAGACTGTAGATGTGTTGAGACTGTAGATGTTGTGTGAGACTGTAGATGTGTGTGAGACTGTAGATGTGTGTGAGACTGTAGATGTGTGAGACTGTAGATGTGTTGAGACTGTAGGTGTGTGTGAGACTGTAGATGTGTGTGAGACTAGATGTTGTGTGAGACTGTAGATGTGTGTGAGACTGTAGATGTGTGTGAGACTGTAGATGTTGTGTGAGACTGTAGATGTGTGTGAGACTGTAGGTGTGTGTGAGACTGTAGATGTGTGAGACTGTAGATGTGTGTGAGACTGTAGATGTGTGTGAGACTGTAGATGTGTATGAGACTGTAGATGTTGTGAGTGTGTAGATGTGTGTGAGACTGTGGATGTGTGAGTGTGTAGATGTGTGTGAGACTGTAGATGTGTGTGAGACTGTAGATGTGTGAGTGTGTAGATGTGTGTGAGACTGTAGATGTGTGTGAGACTGTAGATGTGTGTGAGACCGTAGATGTGTGTGAGACTGTAGATGTGTGTGAGACTGTAGATGTGTGTGAGACTGTAGATGTGTGTGAGACTGTAGATGTGTGTGAGACTGTAGATGTTGTGTGAGACTGTAGATGTGTGTGTGTGTGAGACTGTAGATGTTGTGAGTGTGTAGATGTGTGTAAGACTGTAGATGTGTGTAAGACTGTAGATGTGTGTGAGACCGTAGAT